ATATATTTATTATTTAATTTAAATGAAATATATATTTATTATTTTAACTCGTTTCTATTAAAGTGGGTTTTTTTTTTCTGGTCCAATAATCTTAAAAAGCCTCGGACTCAAAAAGACAACACTCTGGCRAAGGGGGGCCAGTGGGGTGGCCCACCTAAGTGCCCCCGTGGCCCCCCCTTAAGGGTGCCTCTGTGTTTTCTGAATCTGCAGCTCATTTTTTTCTCAACTCTTTCAGTTTTTCAGCTTAAATCCAGACAGACGGAGAGAGGGTCTGTGGATTCATCCGGACCCTCGGCTCCATCTTGCAGTAGCTGTGAGACCCCCCCCACCCCCACCCGACCAGTGGCTAAAAGCAGAGGCTGTGTCCCCCCATGCTGCTGTCCAAACCAAACAGGGCTCCTCTGTTAGCGCCGACCTGCTGGCTGTTATTTCAGCAGGTCTGAGTTACAGGAGCGGTCCTCCTGCCAAACGTCCTCTCGTCACTTTTCACGCGCCGACCTTTGACCCGTGACCAGGCTCCGTGTGGAGCAAAGAGAAACTGTTTGATAAATCACACACTTAAAACTAAAACCATAAATAAAGAAAAGTCAGGCGTGAGGAGCTGTGAAGTCCAGTTTTTTTTTTTTTAATTGCATGAACGCTGAATCTGCTTTTTTGTTTTTGCAGTCTAATGTAGCCAAACATTCGGCTCGCTGAGGACACCGGAGCTTTCATTCTGCTACTCTCAGCTAACTTTGCTAATTATAGCATTTTAGCTGCCTTTGGCTAACTCGTTAGTTTATTTTTTTGGATCTAGCTCATCTTTTCCAGTTTTAGAAATTGTTTTTCTTCTTTTAGCTTTACCWGTTTTGGACGTTTGACAGCTTTGGGTCCTCGTTTTTCTAAACATGTTTGTGTTTTTCTCTAACAGGTGGTCCTACGGGGTTCTGCTGTGGGAGATCTTCACTCTGGGGGGCTCTCCGTACCCAGGGATCCCAGTGGAAGAACTCTTCAAGCTGCTGAAAGAGGGACATCGGATGGACAAACCTGCCAACTGCACACATGAGCTGTAGGTGGAGAAAATAAAACGAAGCAGAGACACAACGAGCCGTCCAGGATCTGAGTGACCAGGTGTGGACCCGTGTGTTTCAGGTACATGATCATGAGGGAGTGCTGGCACGCCATCCCATCACAGAGACCGACCTTCAGACAGCTGGTAGAAGATCTGGACCGGATTTTATCCATGACCTCCACCGACGTAAGCTTCTCTTCAGAGCTGTGCTTTAAAAACCGTATTTTTCGGACTATAAGCCGCACCCGCCATTTTTTTTTTTTAAA